TTTCACAAAATACAAAGTTTTGCACCACATTATAGTAGTGTTTTAACACAAGGAAATCCCAAGGTGTTCGTTGGGAGAGGGGACGGTTCTATAATGTTGATTTGGATCATTCTTAATAGTTAAAGGAAACTGCCATGACAACGGATGCTGACCAGATAGAACATGCAGGTTATTGCTTAGAACTTGCATAAACTGTAGAATGGCACACATACAAAGAATACAAACATTTCAAAATTTTAATTAAAGTTCTGAAAAGATACTTTCTATCCCCTCAAACAAAGTACAACCAGAAACCAAAATCAAAGAAACTCGGTTGTATTTTAATTACTGACAAGTCTTAGAAATACTTATTTATAAATAATCTGGCCTTATGTTTTATAAATAAAACTCTTCAGTCTTATGGAAATAAGTTATTAAGTATATTTTAAGAGGCTTCCAAAATCTTTATGACAATATTAAATATTATAGTCTCCAAAAAAATTGTACATATCACTATAGTTAATGCATGTACCCCAGTTTTAAAGTGGCATTTGCAAATAAGGTCTATGTTATTACAAATTCAAGAACTGGAAAATGTCATAACTTATCCTACTTTTAGGAATATCATCCACACAAAAGATCCTTGAGTAAAAAGGAGACATAACCCTACAGAAAGCAATCAAGCAGAAAACGAAAATACAGAACTCATCCTATTTACAGCTATATTTTTAATTCAATTAGCCAAAAAGGAGCAAATTATAACACACATTAATTACAGAATTACACAAAAAAGGCAAAGAAAAAAATTAAGATGGTGTCTAACAAGTTTCCATCAAGAGGTATAGAGCTTATAAATCAGAGATTTTTCTTGCATTTGGTCTTGTGGGTAGGGCCCGATATCAAAACTGATGCAAACAAACCCATCTTTAGAAGCTGCCTACTTCTATAAAAAACAAACCAAGTATGGCATACTACCAAGTAGGTAGAAATGGAAACTGAGGTCTGAGCCACAAAGGTCCCAGGGCTCAAGTCCCTGGGTGCTGAACTCCAGGAAACACTAACTCAGCAACTAGTAGTTTGTCTTTGAAAAGAAACAAAAGACAGTACCACAGAATTCTTTTCTATTGTAGAGCAAGACTCTAAAACAACTTGCCACAAGCCAGACTCTGCCCTCATCAAACAGCTCCACTTTATGCCTCAACACCATGTGGTCTATAATGAACTTTTTAAAATATCATAAACACACCTACAATAAATCCCCAGCTAAAACACTTCATAAAACTCTTATTGCTTAAACCAGTTTAGGAAAGAGTTTACAGGTGTTCAATGAAACCATAATTACCTTTGTTTCATGTTGTAAAGAGGTATTATTACATTCAGGTTGGCTTCCTGTAGCCTAATAATAAATTGTAGTTTGTCAGATCTTTGTTTAAACATCCTATGATGTTTGATTCCATGAGAGAATCTATTTGTAAACTTTGAAACTTGCCACGAGAGATTGAGAAGCATACAGGTGACTGGGGACGTCTCAGAAGATGACATAGGAAAGTCCTGGCATATGAAAAGGGGACACTGAAGTCTGTGGGGCATCAGAAAGAAGAGATGGGCAAGCCAGGTGAACTCAGGCAGAACTCAACAGAGGAATACCATCTTTGAAAGCAAAAAGCCTCGCTGTCTCCTCTCACACCAGGTCCTGTGGGCCTTTCTCATTTCCGCCCACATCAGGAGAGTTTTGCATTAGGGTTGGCTTTCAGTAGCTTTAGTGTGAGCCAGCTGTAGTTAAGGCCAGGAGGTAGGTAGGTAGGGGTGTGTGTGTGTGTGTGTGTGTGTGTGTGTGTGTGTGTGTGTGTGTGTGTGTGTGTGTGTGTGTGTACTCAGAGTCTATTCACACAGGAGGGCTCTCACTGGTGTGTTGGCTCACAGCTGCTGAAAAGTACTGTGTGTTCTTCTGACAAAATGTTTGCTTTCGATGAAATCCAAAACACAAAACTGCATATGCTTCTATGAAACATTATTGATGCCCATAATTTTGTGGGCTTTTCAACTATACAAGCCACTGAAGTACTTAAAAGCCAGGCAACAAACAAACCAATCTTCAGGATGCTTATTTACATGCTTGGAGCTAACAACTATGTAAGAACAAACGTATCCAGATATGTTAATAGAGTCTTGGGGGACATTCGATTTTTCTTTAAAATGAAGGAAAGGAAACTTGTGCATTATGGTGGTACTTTTCCCTCTGAACATCCATGACAGATGACATTTCAAAATACCTAAGAAATGCCACCGGCAGTCAATGAATCCTCAAGAAAAACTTGTCTCCAAATACCCAAGGTCTCAGAGGGAGCAATTAAAATTCTGACACTTGAACAAAAACTGAGTTAAACAAATTATTAAAATTCATGAAAGAATTTCATTCAGATACCTATAAACTAGGCAATTTTCCAACCAGACCCTTATGGACCCAGTTTATCTATAAAACAGCAAACCGACTCTGAGATGGTAACAATCTACCATCATGCCTTTTAACACATAACTGGCCCATGAAATAACAAAAAGCAGTTAAAATTTAAAAAGCCAACATACCATAGAATAATTTAAGTTTGAGTTAATTTCTTTGCATGCATACGTAACTCCATTTTGAATTTCAAATGAATGCAAACAATCCTCTAAATTATTTTAGAAACAAGAGTGCAAATTCTATAAACCCAAGCTCAAAAAATTTAGTCTCACACATAAAACATTGAATGCAGGATCCACGATCTTGCATGCTATCAGTTATTTTTGCTCTTTTTAAAGTTCCATGAGAACTTTTATTTTCTAGAGTACTACACATTCAGATTGTCACTAATCATTTATAGAAAAATAGAATTGCTTAGAAATTTATACCAATTTGCTTTTATTTTCTATAAAGATTTTGAGTTTTTAAATATCAGAATGCCTAATAGACTCATTTAAATTAATTCATGTAGCCAAAATACTTAATATCTAAAATATCTAGCAAAAAATTGTCATTCAGTAAATGAAAATTCCATTGTTTTAGTAAGTATCATGTTCTGTTTTTATTTGTATTTTAGGTTGATAAATGTAATCACAGAACAGCAAAGCGCAGCCTCGCTGAAGGGCTGGCTTGCCATGGCAGTTTACAGAGCATTACCATTGCATTTCTTCTATGGAGTGAAGAGCTGGCTTGTGGATGCGGGAGCTAATAAGGACTGCTGACAAGGGAATGACAAATCTTACTTTAACATTTGATATTCTAAATATACTTATTTGATGATTGGCTATACTAATCAATGAAAGGTAATGGCAATGGTCTTTTAAGCAGGAAACAATTATTGCCTACATGGAGATTCATAACTGTATGCTGTCATCATTTTGATGGTGAGCTTGAAATCTGTTCAAAAGTGCAGCAATATCCAGAGTCAAAAATATTTATCTCCAGATTTATTCCTTTCTTAGTGAATTTCCAAAATAGTTTTATAATATAAATGTCTTTTTTCCTTTTAAAAAAAAAAAAGCCCATTTTTCTTGTAAAAGGGCCAAGAACAATACAAAATCACTTGCATTCCTATCCCTTCACCCTTTAGACAACCAGGACTCATGAGTGCCTTTGATGCAGACAGCAATAAACTTAGCAGGCCATTATCAGTGTAACATCAGCTGCTCTAAAGAAGTCCTATCTTTATATTACTTTATCTTTCAAAAGTAAATATACCTGATTTTATCATTTGATTGACTGAAATTTCAATTCCCATCTTTAAACATACTAGATCTTGCCAGACTCTATCTGCATTAGACAATTAAATTAAACTGCATTACATTAAATACTTTGATTACATTCCACTAGCCTCCTTCCCTTGTCGTAAGATGACTAATGAAAGAGTCAAATGTTCTCCTTCAGTCTGAGACTCTAGATGGATTAGATCTTTTGGTTTAGGTTCAGTTAAATTCAAGTATTCACCACTAACTGAATTAAGTCTCCTTTTTTTTTTTCCTAGAGCAATCATTAAAGTCAAGTACTTCAGAAAAAATAAATAAAGGCAATAATAGCTAAATATATAATTCTCTATTTGGATTGAAAGAACCAAAATGAAAGTATACACACACACACACACACACACACACACACACACACACACACGATTACTTTCTTCACATAGAATGATAATTTTGATAAGCAGAATACTTGGGATTAATCACCTTCTTCCTTCCTGCTCAGGAAAGATGAAATAAGAAAGCCTGAGTGAAATCTATGAATAAAACACAAACACTGAGTTATCTGTAGTTTTGGTCTGACCAATACAAGGCCAATGTCAGGAGTGTGACAAATGAGAGACTGGTACTCTGGTACCAGGCTTTGAACTCGGGGAAGAGTTTGCATGAAGAAATATATTTTTCATAGAAAAAATACAAGAAAACAGAGGGGAAGGCAGTAGTTTCCAGTGAGTCCTTCTATTAGCTTAAATAGTCATCTATCAACATGCACTTTTAGAAGACATTCAACCCTAGGTCCATACAATGAGTCTTAACCTTGCCTGACAATACGGTTTAAAAAAAAAAATACTTGGATAAAGCACTAAAGATAGAAATAAAGTGACATCTGAAATCTTAAAAGGCAGGAAGTATTTTCAAACATGATACTGTCAAAGTGAGTGAAACACTCCATCATAATAGATGACTGCATACCCAAATGAAATTGTCATTTCTGAAGGCCTGGGGAAAAGGACATGTTAGTAACTTAGAAATTAAACCCTACACAGGCATTGACATTAGAAAAGAACACAGCACAACAAACTGTGCTGCTTACAGACTTCAAAGCAGTTCTCGTTCCTTCATCAAAGTCTGTGGCATATCAAGGCTACCAATTACCAGCCATTTTTTGTTTTTTTTTTTTTTTGCAAAGAATAATCTCCCATGTACACCAAGAGTTCAAAAACATTTCACCGCTCTACTCACAACTTTTATTAAAACTTTCCATTTCTATCCATGCTTAAACAGCAGAAGGAAAGAAGAAATCCTGGGAGTGAAAACTAAATTTTATTTTCTCTTTTCTAAAGATAAAAAGGAGAGAGAGAAGAAAACACTGAAACCCTGAATAACAATCAGAATTAATGGAGCAGCATTCGAGCATGCCAGGAGCTCATCTATTAGTAGATGCGGCGAGGGGAGGAATGAAGATGGCTTATGGAAACACAGATGTTTGATGAAGCGCGCCTTTAATCGAGTTTTCCGTTCTGTAGGCTACTCTTGGCTTCCTCTTGTCTGATGAGAGAGATAACCTTAATGCATCCCTTTGTAATTTTGATCATCCACATGACATTCATCACATCCAAAACAAGACAGCTGGTGACCCAGCAAAACTGAACTGTAAATCCAAGCCTTGCATAGGCTTCTGTTCCGTACACGGAGTACATGAAGAAATACAGAGGAGGTATTGCAATGATCCTCACTATGAAAAAGACCACTGTCATGAGGATTCCATTGATGACATTGGCTTTGGAAAACTTGGGGTACTTCAGGGTTTCAAAGAACCACCTGATAAAGAGAATGAGAGAAACATCACACCTACGCTATAGCTTGGGAATCTACCATCTTACTCTCAAGTTTTAGGCTATGAAAGAATTCAAAGAACATTAACAATTTGCAGAAAGGGGTTGGGGAGATGACTCTGGATAAAGTGTTTTCTGTGCAATCAGAGGGACTTGAGTTCTTCGTCTTGGAGAAAAGGTTTCCACAGACTAAAATTCAACCATGTAACTTCAGACTGATAATATTTGTAACCTACCTCTGGTTCACAAAGGGGCTGGAAAGCTCGGCAAGCAGGCGGAAATTGGCAATGTACACAAGCACTCCATCTCTCTGGATAAGAGACAGAAACAGTGTCAGGGTCTCATCAAAATATGCAAATGTTCTAGAAATAACCAATCACTCCGACACATAACCCCATCAATAAATAAAAACAATCCAGGTGTCTGCCTTTTTCATTAAAAGAATTTTCTTCTTTTTTAAAGGTTGTTTTAGGTATATGAATGTGGGCCTGAATGTTTGTATGGGTATCATATGCATGCCTGGTGCTCTGGAAACCTGAAGATAAGTCTCCTATATCACAGTTACAGACAGTTGTGAGCCATCATGTGGGTGCTGGGAACTGAACCCAGGTCCTCTGGAAGGGCAGCAAGTGCTAAACCATCTCTCCAGCCTCCCGATTTTCTTCTTTGGACTTTAGAAATGTGCTTAAACATCTACAGGTGATAAAAGAGGTTTCATCACACACTTACATTCACTTAGAATGTCATGTTCACCCAGGAAAACAGAAATCAAGCAACTGGATCACACTGGACTAACACATTCTACCACCCACCATTAAAGCATCCTCAAACTACTCTAGGAAAAATGATCACACAGAACTGCGAATTTCAAAAGTTATAACCAGGAGGTGGTGGCACAAGCCTTTAATCCCAGCACTCAGGAGGCAGAGGCAGTCAAATCTCTGTGAGTTCAAGACTAGCCTGGTCTACAAGAACTACTTCCAGGACAGCCTCCAAAGCCACAGAGAAACCCTGTCTCAAAGAAAAATAAAAAGGAGTTATTATAAACACCTATGGACATTCTATTAATATCCATTATGAAGTAGAAGTAGTTAAACATCGCAATGTAATAATCCTATACTGTGACACTGTGAGCAAGGATATATGTGCTAAAGACAACAGCTCTTGATCTAGAAATATATATTTGTCAACTGGAAGATCCTACTAAACACATATACACTCAAGTCTGAAATCTTTCAAAGTTGAAACATAATACTTAGCACATTCTACCAATTTAATAAGATGGAAAATACAACAGAGTACAACAAACATTAGAAAGAAAATTCTTAGAATTGTATTTAATGTACTTTTAAAATTGCCATGAGGTGGGGGGCTGTTGGAATGGCTGTTTGGTGCCTGGATCACACATGGTAGAAGGAAAATTTTTCTTTTACGCACATGCATACACACACACACACACACACACACACACACACACACACACACACACACACACACCAGGGGGGGTGTTAAAATTGCCATGCAGCAAATGTGGTCACTCCAGCACGTCTAATTCTATCAGAGTTGTGTTACATCTCAGAGGAAAGTCTGCCCATCCCCAATCCAGAAGATGCACACAGAACTTGGTAATCTATTTTCTGACCAGGTATACCATGCTAAATTAAAAGAACAAGACACATTTCAAAATGAATTTTTATCTGAAGATTGTTTTAACTCTTATCTACATAATGATTTGGGGGATTTAAAATTCAGCACTTGACCATAGAATTAGCTTTGCTACAGCTATTTTTTTTTTTCTAGTTCATTGTCTTTTGTGACGTTGGAATGTATGAGTAAGGAAGAGGAAGGATGGCCAAAGACCAAACCAACAGGCAAGATGAGTCCTGTGTACGCAAGAGAGGCCAAGTTGTCACAGTGACCCAGGACACTGTCACCCTGTGTGTGGGTTTGCTGATTTCACACAGACGCGGTGAAAAGTTAACAATGCCCTTTAGTAGTAGTAATAGCAACTGAACAAGCTTTTTTTAATGACAGTACTTCTACAGCTATTCTTACATCCCTTTACTTCTGTTAAACAGTTAAAGAGGCTATCTTGTATGTTTCTAGAATACATAACACATTTCAAGAATAATCTAAACAAAATAGAACTAGAGTAAGTTTTAAAATAACATTTTTTTCATGTTCCATGATACAGGATTTTCTTTTCTGTTTCCTTTTTCAGTAACTTCTCCCTTTCCAGTGACTACCTGCAGCCAGAGGGGAAAACGTTGAATGCAGTGTGATAAACTATATCAAAACATGAGAGTCACTTTGACTTGCATTTCCGCTCCTCATCCGACCATATTCTCCCAACAAAGATGCTAAGATATATATAGGATGTGTTTTTATTGCAAAGGCAGGCTGTTAGAATTATAAAAAAAATCAAGTTTCCCGTTCCCCCAGAAACATCTAGCCACTTTATATCTAAAATCTGTTTTAGTGGACCAGCTGTTATCAGTTGAGTTCCTTTGCAGACAGGAGGTCATCAGCTACACTGTATCTTTCTGAATAACCACTGTGTTTCTATAATTCGAGTACCCTGGGCTCCCTGAGAAGCTGCAATAGAATCCTGTTTGGTGTGACTACCATTTTTTGTTGTTTTTGAAAGTGTCATAAACAGCTAAGGCTCACTCTGAACCCTGATCTTCCTGCCTCTGCCTCCTGCCTCCACCACGCCCTATATTAAGCGCTATGAGCAAACCCCACAGCTCTCTGCATGCTAGACAAACACTGAACCACTGAGCTACATTTCCATACCCTAATTTATATTTAAGTTTTTAGACTGTCCACAAACATTTGCTTTACTGTACTAATTTTCTACATTTGTTTTTTTTTTTTTTTTTTTTTTTTTTTTGAGACAGGGTTTCGCTCTGATTTTGTTTTGGAGGCTGTCTTGGAACTAGCTCTTGTAGACCAAGCTGGTCTAGAACTCACAGAGATCCACCTGCCTCTGCTTCCCAAGTGCTAGGACTAAAGGTGTGTGCCACCACAGCCAAGCCTATTATTCTACATTTTCATCCTTTTAACTTACTTAAAAAAAAAATCAAAGCAAGCCATTCTTGTCCCAGCTCAGAAAATATGAGTTTGTAGCAGCTGGCTTTTCAGCATCTTTGTGGCCAGCAGAATCATGGCTGTCTTGTGGGCATGTGCCATCAGAGGCTTTTATCCTCACCCAAAGTTACTTTTTTTAATCAAGTGGTTCCAGAGGTTTTGATGAAATTTATAAGGGGCTGAACATAAAATCCTCAATACCAGAAGTTGTGTGCAGGTGTGCAAGGAATTCAGCAGCTAATATCTTTTCCCCTTGCTGAAATTGACCAAAATGTGTTCCCTGCCAAGTACAAGCTGAGCAATGCTTCATTTGCATGTTAACAATGTACCACCAACTCTTATTTTGCTTTGTCTAACTCTGTTTTTCAAAAAGCATCCAAAAGTGGTGGTTGGGAGGGGTGGGTGCTTTCTGTTGCCATGACTCAGTGTTCTATGTGACTACTGAAAGCACAAAGACTACTCACATCTGACAGTATCAGCTCTATGTTGCAACAGGTCAAAACAGCTTTTGGGCCCCACAACCCTCCTCCTCACACCCATTTTGTCAAGAAGAAATCCAAGTTACATACAGCCTTGGAATTAGGAAATGCAAATTTACTCAATTTCATGTAGCAATCAAGAGGAAAATGTGATGGGTATGTTTATGGTATTGTCTAAGCTAACTCAGTCTGCTGCTTTCAACTGAGCATCAACATCTTTCTGGAAGACGAAGAGGGTACAGCTTGATTTAGATGTAGCTGCCCATTGCATCCCAGACTTGTGAAATCCCATGTCCTTCTATGCCTTTACATCTCTTCAGCCCAAAGCTTATTAATTTGGGAAGATTGCAACAAAGAAACAAGTGGTAGGTTGAGGGTACAGTATTTCAACAAGAGAATGATGGGTCACAGTTTTAGAAGCCAGAAGTGGAGATAAAGTTGCCAACAGGTACACACCTCTGAAGGTCAAGGGAATTCTCTCCTCTACCCTTTCTGTCAGCTTCTGATGGTCCCTCAAGTTTAGTGACCTAACTCCTATTTTCACACAGAATTCCAGGGCCCAAACTGTCCCTTTTAATATGGACATCAGTTAAGGGTTTATTAAAAACCCATTCTACTGCAATATGAACTCCTCTTAACAAATTATACATGCAGACAGACCTATTTCCAAACACTCATTTACAGGTACTGGAAGCTAGGGATTCAACACAGGCACCCTAGAGGGAACTTATTTCAAGTCACACCAATGTGGAATCCCCAACTCTTTTCTGCATATTACATAGTATGTTGCTTTGACTATATTTCTCTTTAATTCAATGTTATAGGTCTTTCAATCTGCCTATTAATAATTTATATATTTCCTTATACAAAAATGATGACCTTTTCTCAGTGATATCTGAGCATTCTGGTAGTATCCTAAGTCATCTCATTTTCATTACATAAACTCTTAGAAAACACAATCACTCTAGAAAGTTTAACTTTATTGATTAAACCATGCAAATCACAACTGTCAGTCCAACACCCAAAGTTTATGAGGGACTTTTGCTACTTATAGCTACAACACACTTCAGTTGCATCAGAATGTCCTAGTGATGAACTGTCCGTTATTAGGAACTATAAGAGAGTTGCCATGGATAGTTTCACATCGTGGGAAGGGCTTCTTGGGATGTAGGATTTTCAGAGGCCTGTCTTCCTTGGGTAGGTCACACTCACTTTTGTTTTATTATAAATTCATTTTAATACATAATATAAGTCACATTTGCAGCCAGGAAACAAAAGATGAAAAACAGAACAGCCTGACCTCTCTAATTTGCACAACATGAAGAAGCACTTTAAAAATAACAGGAAACAAATTGCTACTCACATTGCAAGTTCATGCATATTTTATGTGTGTTCTTAATAAAAAAAATTGTGGCAACTTCTTAAAAGCACAGATGAATTTACCCAGAAGAATTGTTTAGAGGGCTTGGTGAGAAGGCTCAGCAGTCAAGAGCACTTGCTACTCTTGCAGAAGATACAAATTTGCCTCCCAGGACTCACATGGCAGCTTATAACCACTTGTAACACTAGTTCCGGGGGAAGCCCGATGTCCTCTCTGGTCTCTGCAAGCACTAGGCGCTCACCTGATACATTATACATACACTAAAGCATGTGCACACACACACACACCTGTAAAAATAAATAAATGGGTAAATAAATAGATCTTTTAAAAAAAGATTCAGTCATGGTATACAACTTAAAG